GGGGGGGGGCCATGATCTCCCCTTTGCTTCCTGGTGCTCCTTGCACCACCCTGTCCTTGCGCGGGGGCCGAGGCGCCGGCCCGCGGGCATTGCCTCCTGCCTGGCAGCTTCGCCTCGCGAGGCCTTCCCGCCCTGCCCCGGCGCCTATAAATCCTGCCGGTTGGTGCCCCCAGTGCAATCGGGAGGCTCAGATTTAACAAGCTGTGTCTTAATCTCTCCCTCTCCCCCTGTGGTCTGTTTTTTTTCATACCCCAGAGATGAATTACTGCGGGGATCTAATTGGCCTTGTTTCTGCCGCGCTTTAAAAAAAAATGGAGGAGGAGGAGGACGAAGTGTCAGAGTAAAAGTCTGTCTCGACTTGGGTGGTCAGGAGCGGTGGCTGCCCCCAATTTGCCTCATTGCTGATGCATGCGAGTGCTGCATTCCCAGCGATAATGTTGTTCCTAATCAATCTGCCCTTATTTACATTTGTAAGCATTGTTGGCTTTAATATGCATGCCCTGCGCATGTCACCGCGGCTCCGCACCCGGGGCTCTCCCCCTCTCCTTTCTTTGCCCTAAACTTCAAGGATCCCACAGATCGGAGTGGTGATAACACGCCCGGCTCCTCGCCTGCAGGAGGCCTGCCTAGGTGGCACCTCCCGCCGGCACAGCTCTGCCTTCCCCCGGCCCGGCTCGCTCTCCCCGGGTGGGCAGGGCCCGCCCAGCTGGCCCCTCCGGGTGTCTGGCACCAAAGACCCGCCTTCTTATGTGCCCCCTGGGGCCTGGCATCCCGGAGGAGGAGGCTTGCAAGGGACCTCGAGAGGTCACATGTAGTCCAACCCCCTGCTCGGAGCAGGACCATCCCCAACTGGATCCTCCCCGGCCAAGGCTTTGTCCGCCCGGCACAGATGCCCCGTGGAGGAGTTCAGCCCCGAGGGGTAGGGGCTGGGAGGTTGCTGATGGCTTCACGGCGACTCTTGCAGCGTGTTAGGGGGCTCCCCCCGCCCCATCACTGCTCTGCCTGTAGCATCCGGTTACATGAATAAAGGAAGGACATTGAAAGAAAACACCTGCCCTCCAGATTGTTTGTTTGCCCGGCAGGAACAAAACCGGCCTGGAGGGCGCTCACTCGCCTGTCATTTTTGTGCCCGGGGATGGTTTTGCCCCCCACACCCGCCCCGATCTCCTTTTGGCATCCAGCTGCGCAGCCCAATAAGACCCGGGGGGGGGGGGTTCCTGCCTCGCTGTTGCAGCCCTTTGAATACGCTCGCCAAAGAAACCTTGTTCTTGCTTCCCCCCCCCACGCCCGGCCCTGCTCCCGGAGGAGCATCTTGCCCGTGTGTCCGGGCAGATGCTGCGGGGGGCTCAGGGCTGGGGAGAGGGAGCCCGGCTCGGCTCTTTCCCTCGCCCTCGCCCTCCCTCCTCGGGACTAGCAGGCGAGGGAGGCTGCTCGAGCCAACTTGTCAAAATAATGCGGCTAATTACCCCTGATCGCCTTTAATGGAGAGCTGCTCCGCGCGCCACAAAGAAGCAAATGAGCGATCTCCAGCATCAGCCCGGCAGCGCAGGGCTTTGCAGCCGCCCCCGGTCCGGGCAGCCCCCTCCGGCTCTGCAGCCGCCGGGGGATCCGAGCCGGAGCAGCTCTTGTCATCCTCTCGCACACCCCAGCGTCGCCTGCAAACCGGATCCTTTCCCTGGCAGCCTGCCCTCAGCCCCGCAGTGTGCACCGAGGGGGGACAGTCCCCCTGGAGAGTTTTTTAGCCCTTCTGGACCGCACCGGGGCTCTGTAACCATACACCTCGGCTCTCGCGTTTGGCAGGAGGCGCAGACCATTCATTTTCCTGATCTCTGCCATGGGGTCTGGCGGGGGGGGGGGGGCAAAAAAAAAAAAAAAAAAAAAAACCGCGCGACACCACCCCTTTGACCCCCCGCTGGGGCAAAAAATTTATTAGAGAAATAGGGGGGAGAAAAAAAAAAAAAAAAAAAAAAAAAAGCCGAGCGACACGATCCCTTTGACCCACTGCTGGAGCAACAAATTTATTAGAGATATAGGCGTGAGAAATGAAAAGGAAGTAAAACAATTCAGGCTCATTGTGTGTCTTGCTTTCATACTGCTAATCCGGTTTACACATCACGCCTACATGTCTCAATAGGGCTTTATAGACTGTGGCAAAGGCAGGAGAAAATAAAAGGTGTGTGTGTGTGGATGTGTGTGTGAAATAAGGCTGAAGGCAGGGAAGACCAAGACATTTTAATTCCGAGAGAGCTGCCTTGTCAAATTTCTATCTGCCGGCTCCTGAAAGCCAGCAGACCTTTCCAGGCCCCCCCTCTGCCCCCAGCCCTTCCCCACCAACACGAACTCCTGCTCAAATATATTGTCAGATTAGAATCCATCTTCACAATGACTCTAATAGCCCTGTCCAGAAATTAGATACACCTATCAAGCTGGTGCTGAAATGATGTGAAAGACCTCCGACCTGACACTGGGAAGCGCTAGGAGCTGGCAGATGCCCACCTTGGCCACCGACTCGCTTCCTGAAGTTGCCCACCACGCCTTTCCGAGGACGGGGCTGCCGCTGCTCCCCACCCCCTGGCCTGATCCTGTGCAGGCACAACATAGGTCTGACCGCTGCCCACTCCCGCAACCTCCAGTGTCTGCAGCGGGTGCTGGGAGCGAAGCACGAATAAGGCTGCCCAGAAAGCCCAGCTCCTCTCCTTTCGCTGCGAGCGGGCACCAGCTGGCCCAAAGAGACCGTGCTGCGCGGGCGAGGTCCGGGGCTCCCAGCTCCCGCGCCAGCCGGGAGATGGGGGAGCTCAGCACACGGGCCACAGAGGAGGAGAAGGGGGGGAAGCTCTTTCTTCCTGCGTGTGCCCATTTCACAGGAGGCTGCACAAAGCTTCCCCAGGCGCCAGGACTCCCTCTCTGCCCGCGATCGAGCCAGCCCCGAGGACTTTTTGGCCTCCCCTGGTGGCAGATGCCAAGACACCAGGTGACCCGGGTCACATCCGCCCCGAGACGCCCCGGGCCCGCCGCCCGGGTGCTCTCCAGCCGGAGCAAGGCACAGCGGCGTGGCCCAGGCCCCGCCAGCGGCGCCCCGAGCCCACCCGCGCGGAGAAGCTCCCTCTGGCTCCCCCCTCGTCCGGAACCAGCAGCCCGGCGGGGGCTGATGAACGGAAGCCGGGGCGGCGACCCTCCCAAGCGTGAAAATGGGATCCCCCACCCAGCACACACCCACCCACCTCCCCGGGCCACATCCCGCCACCCCTGCGAGCC